AATAAATTAATATTTTTAAACACTATTTATAAAAAATAAAAATTAATAACTTTAACACTTCTTATAATGATAATAATCACATTCTTTCCCCCAATAACTTTGAGAAAAAAATTTTAATTTTTATTACTCTACTTATTTGAAATAATAAATTATACTTTCTGAGTTTTTGACTTTTGTAAAAACAGGATAATGACCTAAAGAAAACATGAAAAGTAGTGCTAAGAAAGGGTCTAAAATACACAGGGAAAAAGTGTCATCAGATATCCAAAAAGGAGGTTTAGATAGATCACAAAGATTTTTACACCTGCTCAACAAATATGCATACATAATCTCATTCCATGTATTAAGTAGTCCCAGTAAGAACCAATGAAAACACAATTAGCAAAATCTTTAGGGTCAAATCTCTGTTTCCTCTCAAGAGTTTTTCCCTTTTGTTCACCATAAGGCATAAACAGATATGAACATGTTTTTGATATTTTGACAATTGTGTATTTGTTCAAAACAGTAATGTTTGATCTTTAGTTCTTGTAAGATGTTGCGAACTGTCACCATGATGGGAAGACGAGATCCAATTCCCCAGTATGATGCTTCCATCTTTCCCCTTTGATGCATGCTGCAGTAGCAGTTATGTCATTCCAGAAAAAAGCACAGAACCAATCTTGCATAAGGAAAAAAAATACATTTACCAATCATAACATATATCAATAGAGGCATTGATCGATAACTATAAATAACATCATGTATACAATTGCATGAATTCAGTCAATAAATATAATCTACCAAAATGCAAGGCTAAAATAACCACAACGAAAAGTAAAAATGCAAAAAGCTTGCATACCTAAGAATGATGGAAGGGCAATAAACATCAACTTTTGTCAATAAATCAGCATATCATTTGCAATATCATTATGAACAACTGGGGCAAATGGTGGCCAATCTGCAGAACAAAAAATCACAAGGCAAGTTCTAGATTGTCATGGCATGAATGAAAGGCTAATTGACCATAAAAGGAAATAGAAACAGGCCACTACGCGGATATTATGAGTAATCAACAAACGATAGCATAAACTGCAAGTTACCTCTTACTAAATCCTCTTCTTTCCTACTTCACTTCCTGTGTTGTATATCCCAAAAGAGACAGATGAGTGAAACTTGTAAAAGTCTGCATGTTTCACAAGTTCAATCTCCCTAATATACCTCCTGTTGCTGGTTAAGTTCAACTGCCATGGCCTATCTCCCTCCCTTTCCTCTTCAATTCAATTCCTAAGACAATTTGAACAGTGTAAATCAGAAAACCATAATCATTGCTCACTTTCATAAAACAAGCAAGAAGTGGCATGCAGGGAGACAGAATCAACTCCTTCCTAGATCCTGTTGTGTTTGGCTATGGCAGCGAGGTTCACAAAAAGTAGAAGAAATTGGATGGAATAGAAAGCATTAGATTGAAAACTGGAAACTTACATAGCATTGATCTGAGGCTTGTTACACCTGTGCATCCATTAGATATAGCTCTCAAACACTAACACGTCAACTCCTTCCTAGCTCCTGCCATGTTTGGTTATAGCAGCAAGGTTCACTAGCCATCTCAGGACAGTATGATATGTTTCAAGGTATGAATCAGACTCCACCATGAAGGGAGCCTAGTAGGACTCAATTGATGCATTGTACTCCTGAAACACATTTGGATTTGGATTTGGATTTGGGGATGGGGTTTAGAAGTTTAGATTGGGGCTAATCCACCATATGAAGGAAAGGAAATAACTACTAACTGAACAGATGAAAATTGTTAATGATGAGATTGAGACCATATGCCATTTTTAAGGAAAATCTAACCTGAGTTTAAGTCCTCTAAGAAGCCTTATATGGTAACTTGGAAGACTGCTCATCAACCGAGAAGGCAAGGTATAGACTATTTCCAACCCACTGCCATGTTTTCCAAACAAGCTCCGTGAGTGACCTAAACAAATAATAAATCATTAATATGTGTCTCCACGCATGTGACTTGTGAATGTGAACTTTCACTCCATTCTTAGAGAGGAAAGGTATTCACCTCTTTGCAACATTTCATGACACCAAAAAGAAGCAACTCAGCCACTTGTAGGAAGCCAGAAAATTATGCTAATTTTTATCAGAAACGTCCCCTTGTACAAAACTTTAAGCTTAGTAACCTGAAGTAAACAAGAACCTTCATTAACAAAGATATGTACTGTTACCAAAAAAGTAAATTCAAAACATCTGACAGCAACATATAATTTTTCCAACCCACTGCTATGTTTTTCAAACAAACTCTTCATGTAACCTAAACAGATTGCAATCATGAGTATGTTTCTCCATGCTTGTGACTTGTGAATGTGAACATTAACTGCATTCTTGGAAAGGAAAAATTCACCTCTTTGCACAATTCATGATCATGACACCAAAAAGTTTTGTAGGAAGCCAGAAAATGATACCAATTTTTATCAGAAACTCTTGTACAAAAATTTTAGGTTACAAACAAAAAAAGGCATACCCAGAAACCTAAAAACTTCCTCTCCTTGAGGCCTTACCGGAGCTAGCATACCTGGCAATTAAAGGGGGTTCATTTTCAGCCAGGCTTACCCCAAAACCAAATTATAAAAAGAACAAAATATAGAACAAAAAAAAATTCAATAAAACCCTTATGAATACATAGAAATTAAGAAGCATAAGAAAATGAAGAGAGTGGAATGGAATAATCAAGTCAAAATACCTAGTGTTTGGATGTTTCACACTTTCTTTGAGGTCTGATTCTTCAGTTTAGCACGTAATTTTCCAGCCAATCTTTTCGTTATTGAGTAAGGGCTTTTACCGGAACATGTTGTCGGTGGCTTGTGATTTATTGGGAAAGTTGATGATTTCTCTGGAACTACAAAAATTGTTTCTTTCAGCAACTAAAATAACACAGGATTGCAAATGATAGAAAAATTATAAATAAAAAAGATTATCCAGATAAAGTTAAATAAAAAATATATCAAAAAAATCGAATAAAAAAAGAAATACTATTAATGTTCCTCCAACCACAGATATTAAATAATCTTATCACTCACAATTTTATCTTGTTAAATGAGAAAAGTGGAATAAGTCAAAATAGAGATAGTGAAATCTAAACACTTACTGGTTGGAGCTTGTGAGGGAGCAGAGGCTGGGGATATCTTTGTCTTCTAGAATATACCCACTTAGGTTTTCCATCTCAGACACATCCATCGCTTTCTCTTCTAGGATACCCAATTGTTTTCATTGGGGGCGGAATGAAGGAACTGTGGAAATGCTTTTATTGGCACGTGTTATTGAGGTGGCACGTGGCTTTACATTTGTAGTTTGCAGCTCTTCACTTCAATCTACACATTATTTCCCAAATTTTCAGCAACTTACTGTAATATATTACCAAAGCAAATTCAAATTAGAATTAAATAGTAGTAAATCAATCAACACCTTACCCTCAATCCCACGGTTATCTAAATATATTTCAAGAAGGGTTGAAGGAGGTTCTTAGTGTTAGGATGATCCCACTCCAGTGATTCCCACCATTCTTTTGACTCTTCACCTATCTCGATTTTTCTGAGATGAGGAGGAGGAGATGGTTGGCCGTTACCAAGTTGGGGAAGTTGCACAGGGATCTTCTTTAACTCCGGACATTCACCTATTTGAATTGTTTCAATAGAATTACAAACCATAACTCCTTTGGCACTGCAGATGCTCTTCAATTGGGGTAAGTCCCACAAGCACAATTCCCTTAACTTAGGAAAAGTGAAAGTGAATTTATCCGATGATGATGCATCCGAATCTAATGATGCTATTATCTCCTCTATTTGACGGCAATCATGAACAAAAATCGCCTCTAAGTTTTGGAGGGTCTGCAGTAGCTCAAGTGGAAGCAACTTCCTTATTCCCGAACATTCCACTACATAAAGCTTTTTAAGATTGGAAAAGACGTGCGGTGGTGTTGCTTCTCCTTCCACTCTCACAAGTTCACACAACCTAGGCAATTGCAAAAGCCACAGCTCTTCAAGCTTATCAAATACTGGACAACGCAATGAGGAGGAGGAGGAGGAGGATGAGTCCAACTCAACCACGCACTTCATCTCTTCACAACAGCTAATATTGCATGCCCTCAACTCATTTGCTTTTTCTAACAGAGCTATTTTGCTTAAGCTGCTTCCCATGTTTTTAAGCCTAATTATCCACAAATCTTCAAGCTTATTTGGAAGCACTATACCTTCTTCCCCGATCTCGCAATCAGTAATTACAAGCTCATGTTTGCTCCTTCTAAGCATGTCTTCTCCATTCCCAACTAGAAGACTGTAAGCAATAGCCCTTTGGAAATCTTTGAACTTGTTGACAAAATAATTGAGGTCTTGTATGTCATCAAAGTTACATTCTAAAGTCTCCAACTTCTTCAGTCTAGTAACCTCTTCAAAATTTCTCACTATTGTAGTTTCTCGCAAACAACAAACTGCCAAATACTGGAGACTGGAAAGGTTAAGTAATATTCCTGTTGGAATCTCTTTCAGATTTGGACAAAATAACAAATCAAGATATTCAAGACTTATCAACATCCCCATGCCTTGTGGGACCAC